CGAAGAAGAAGAGGGGGGGGGGGTATGGAGTTTGAAGTTTAGCGGTGGATGATGATAAATAAAGTTGAAAGGCCAGAGAATTTAAAAAAGGCAAAGCATTTTTGGCTTTCACAGCTTTTCACGAATATGGGGGACACTCCCTGTTAATATTTTTATGTACGGGTAGATATCTAGTCGGGCTAAACTCGGCCCTTTATCTTTGGATTATCTTAGAACATAAATACCATGTCCATATATTCTAATATATTTTTCAATTCCAAAGTCAACAACATTTCAAGAAAAAAATTGAAGGACTAGGGAGTGCGTTCGGATTGGACAGGAATAGAAAGGTTTATCCGGGTGATTAAAGCATTATTAAGAAAAAAAATTGCAAATAGAACACTCTAGGTAAATATTGAATTGTTTTACTTAACAATTAGGCCGAGGGGTGTTGTTCTACAATTCAAGAGGGGGTACCAATTGATTTTTAAACCAAATTTGACTTCTGTTAACTTAACGATAGTGTAGAACTTTATATGTAACATAATCCCTTCCACGAGTATCTTCTATGGAGTCAACATTTCTTCTGGTCTTCTCAATGGCTTTTTGCAAGGGAGACCCAAAAACTACAACCTTCTTATTCAAATCATGTGAAAATTTTTAATCTCATTGTAATAAAGTTTGTGCACTTTTAAAATGTCTCAAAATAAAATTTGCATTTTTTATTCATAAAAACTTTTTTTCTTTTACTTTTGAATAAGGGTCTAATTTGTGTACGCCGTCCACGTCCTTCCTCCAAACCATGCTCTCATAGGATCCAATTACGTTTGTTAGAGCGCATCTCTCATCAAAAGTTCAAGAATAAAATAATCGGTATATAAGCTCTTAAGTTAAACTAATTAATCGATTAGATTTAATCTTTTAATATGGTTCAGTCTAAGTATCTTATTACCCAATCCAATTGTCTTTATCTCATCCTAAATTATATAATGGTATCGGAACAGATTTTGGCCTACCTCACTTGTCAAGGTGTCCGTCCAGACCGTTAAAATTCCAATGGGCCAAGAACAACATGTAGAGTGTCGGGTAAAATTAACCACATGCATATAAAGTCGGGATCAACTATTGAAATCTAAAAGTTTAAGCTGATAGGTAGGACTTCACCTGTGTACATCTTTATTTTCTGATATGGGAACTTTAACATAGACATTTATTCATAGCGGCATGTTAATCTTTAACCTAGTTCTCTGTATGGAATATATATATACCGAACGGCCTGTGGCTCGTTTAACACGATTGCTTTAGGTGATCCTTTAGGTGTTGGCCATTTAACACGTTTGAAAGTCCATACCCAACAGCTCGTGATCCTTAAGGTGTTGGCGCTCAAAAAATCAAGATAATGGGAGTCCACTTGCAAGTGGTCAATCACTAGATTTAAAATGGTCCGGTTGTGCACTTGAAGGGAAGTGTTAGAGTGCATCCCACATCAAAAGTCCAAGAGTAAAATAATCGGTATATAAATTCTTGAGTTAAATTAACTAATCGATTGGATTCAATTTCTTAATGTCGTTCAGCGCAACTGTCTTATTGTCCAAATCAATTATCTTTACCTCATTCTAAATTATATGAGCATTGCTTTTGTTTACCTTTTTACCCTCTAAAATCTATTCTTCATTTCAATTAAATCATCTGTTTCGGTTTACGATATTTAACTGAAGTTATTTTCAAATCATTTTATACGAACAATAGTGTAAAATTAAAATTTAAAAATTACATATTTAAAAACTAAATCAAACAATTTACAAAACTAATAGTGACATAACTATATTATTTTCTCAAATACCTAGTAAAAATAGGAAAAAGAATAAATAAAATTTTACTATGTGAATACTAAATATATAATTTAATTTGGGATGGAGACAATAACTTTTACGGAGTGTAAAACGGGGCATTTTTTGGTGTTATACAGTTAGTTATACTAACATTTTCAAATTATTTTGGTGAAGTAAACTTATAATGAATTTGGGGCCATAGGGCCGAAAAGCGCATATAGCTAACGGAACTTTAACGGGCTTAGATTTTCAAGTAATGGTATAACGGCCCATTTTGTGATTAGTTTCAAGTCCAGTGACTTCGAAGCATCAACAGTCAACACTACTTTTTTGGAGTTGTTTATTTTAGGATTGTTTAATTTCCAAAAATTATTCGCTCATTTCAATTATTTTTTGTCAATTTTTTACATTTTTGTGACGGATTATATGCAAGTTGTTCTTCCGTGCTCCTAAAGCCTACATTTGAAGTGTAGACTTTCTCACATTTTTTTATAAATATGGGAAAAAAAATTGAGTGTAATTGACCCTTATACAAATAACTCAACTTAGAATGGAGAGAATAATTTTTTTAAAATTAATCTACAATATTAAAAAATTTCTCAAAACATCAATGCTAGCTTATAACGTTGTTTTCAAACTATATTTTTCACTACAAACCAACCTACACTCAAAAGTCAAACCCAAATTCGAATAGAGTTATTATCTCATTCTTCTCAAACTATTTTCTTAAATGCCAAATTTTTTCTTCATTTTTACTTATTATTTTCATTTATCATTTGCAAAGTATTGAAATAACATAGGCATGTCACTTTATATTTTATTGATAGTTCATTTTTTTAACGATGATATGTTGAAATTTCGGTGCGCCGAGAACTGTAGGTGGAGTGTCGGGTAAAATGAAACATTTGTATATAACTATATATAGTCGGGATCTACTATTATAGTGGTATTCATTTTTTTTTCAATGTGAAAACTCCGTTACTCTCCCTCAAGTGGTAACTAGCCTGATCTAGTTATCACTTGGACAAACAGGACTAGCATCTCAATTTTTTTTATTTAGCCCACACAACAAGCAGTGACTTCTCATTCTCTTATAGTCAAATCAACCCAAACCACGGACGGGTAGCTCATTTTGCTAAACTCGCATCCAAACAATTAGGAACAACCGAACCTAGACGACCTGCTCCGATACCATGCTAGTATTCCGGTGGGCAAGAACTATGATTAAATGTCAAATAAAATTTACCACATGCATATAAAGTCGAGATCTAGTATTCTAACCCAAACGTTTAAATTATTAGATAAAGTTTCATCTTTCTATACATGCTACTAGTATTCTTTTTTATTCTTCGACGTGGGAACTCCAACATAATAGTTCGATATTGTTTTTAATACTGTATATTATGGAGTATAAACGAAAAAACACATGATAAATTCATGACGGACTAGAAGAGAAAAACAAGAATGACAAATTTGGGCAAAGACTTTGCCACACTAAATATGATAAGTTTGGGGGAATCCCCACAAGATAGGGGTAAAGTCACATTATTATTTTCAATAAGAATAATAATTCAAAAAGGAAAAAGAAAAAAGAAAAGTACGGTGAATTTATGGGACCCAATTTCCAAAGAACATATTAAGCGTGCGTCCTTCCACCCTGTTTTTCCAGTGTCCCATGGGAGACAGAAAACATGTTTTCTTTTCATCAATCATCATCATCATCCAACTCTGAAGCCATGAATGATCCACTGTACATTTCTTAGCTCCCAATGGCATGGTGGATAAACAGTTAAACCCACAAACAAGAAAAATTATAACACCGTAGACAACCATGTGCAACCAAGAATGTTCATGAGACACTTGTTATCAAACTCGGTGTCATTCGCGATTTGGTGGTAGACCCCGAAATTGAACGAGGATTGGACGGTCCCGTTTAGTACCTACCGTGATTGTCGTTCTCATCATTGTCACTTTTGGATGCACCAAGAAATTGTTATTGTTATTAGAAAGAAAATAAAAAGATGAACTCCATCCTTGGGGTTTCTGGGATAAGGAACAGATATTATAGAGCATCAAGCCTCAAGGACTCGGCTTCGACCTTGAGGCCTTTCAGGTATCGGATTGTTTCATCAATAACCTCGATTGTGCCTTTCCCCTTTCCTCCTGGGACAATATTCTGCAAAACGCACAACGTTTTGCGTATTTTCTCCTTTCTTGATCTTTTCCTGCGGTTGTTGGTATTCCCACAGCTTGATTCCGCGTCATCCTCTAAACCGGAGCGCCCAATCGGGGCATAACGACCCTCGAGAAGTTTTTGCCTTTTGGTGGGCCCCTCCTCTCTTGGCTCATTACCATGGGCACTCGGAGAATGTCCCGAGCTTATGACTTCATCACCAGAGGAATCAGGATCAGAATCAGAATCGTCAGAGTAGAGAAGAGCGTCTAGCTCTTCGGAGTCTTCTTGATGCATTTCCATTCCCTCATTGTTCTCTTGGACGCATTCGTCGCTAAGAAAAGGGGTTGGATCAATAGGTGTTGTTGACGGTTTCAGAAGCCAGCTTGCACTTGCAGAAGAACGGTAGACTAGCCTCGTTTGGTTGCCCGATTGATCAAAAACAAGAAATTTCCTTTGGGCATCTCCATGGGCGGTTTCAGGATTCGGATTTGCCCAAACGGGAGCTTCCTCTTCAGTTGCAGATCCCAGTGATGGATGGAAAGAAGAAGGCAAACTGTTGAGAAGCAAGTTATTAGGGCGGTATGCCATGGCAGGAAAATTCTGGATATGTGGGTCCCAGCGTCGAGGGAACTGAGGATCAAAATCTTTTTCCATTCAATTCAAGAAATCCCACCACCTAGAAGAAAAACATGGGAGGGGCCAAAAATCGTGTTGAGTAAAATCCAGACATTTTCAATCCTAAGACGAATAGTAACACAAAGAAGTTTAGGAGATGGGAAAAACTCACGTACCAGTACTAGAACTTGCTGAATGTAGCTTGTGATGTTTTCTAGAAATAACGAAGAAGAAGAAGAAGAAATGCTAACAAAATGAGAAATCTTCAGCTTAACTTGAGAAAGAAAGGGTCAAGAAAATCAACGAATCTACGTGACAGGTTTCAGCAGGTGACGAAAATATTCAGCCTGAAAACACGATTAGAAAGCAAAATCATGACGTATTTCACATAGGCGGAAAATGAATTGAACTAATATACACATTAATAAGTGTTGGACGATCCTCATCTATAGAGCTTTTTTAGATGATTTTGATCCAACCAGATTTTTAACAAGATTTAATCATATAGAATTATGTGATTCCAATTGGCAATGAGAGGAGTAACTCAAGTGGAACTTGGGTTTTTTACTATTTGGGAGGTTTCTTCAAATTTAAATTCTAGAGTAAAAAAGAGATGGAGTTGGGAACTCACCTGGCAATCTTGGAGTGGTTGAAAGCAAGCTATGACTCTAACTATAATGGTGGAACTCCCTGCAACTCCATTTTCATGTTTCAAAGCCCTGAATCTCGTCTGGCTCGCTGCTTGGCACACCATAACTTCTTCTTCCCCAAACCCCTCCCCCCTTCCCCACACACAAAATTAAAAGATCCCAAAATACAAAACCAGATAATGATTTGAAAGGCTTAATAACGACACAGAAGATGATAAAAATTCAGCTAATCCGGCGGACGTAGCAGGGAATGACAATGAAACGAGTCGAACCCATTGAATGAATGAACGAATGAAGGCTAACACAATGATATTTTGTCAAGGGTAAAAAAAAGAGTTATAAGGTAAGAAAATCAAGATATGGATGTGAAGGTGGGGGTAAAATTGTTACAGAATTACACGGCAGTACAAATTCAAGAAGATGACTTTCCTAAACACATCAACTGAAAGACTGTACCACCGCATGCTGTTCTTCACTCTGCAACTTCTTCTCCCCACCTGTTTCCAGATCAGATTCAATTCAAACCCATGACAGAATAAAATTAAAAATATGACCTTTGATGCAAAGAACTACTAAAGATTAACAAAAACTAAACTAGAGATTTTTTCCAATAAACAGCTGATTGGCAGGATTAAGAAATTTTTACTGCCTGCTCCATTGTTTATCTTGACTTGCCCAGATTTACATAAGGAGAAGGGAAACAAGTGATCTCATCAAGAAAATGCAGAGAAATTCTGGGTCGATGAGTTAGTTTACTCCAAACACATGTACATAGATTTAGAAGAATCTAAAAGCGTGTACTGAAGCAGATCGGATATGAAATCAAGAAAAAGATTGCATTTTTAACGAGAAAAACAATGCTTACAGTGAATGGAAAAACAATACACCCGCCTCCCAGATTTCTTCCTTATCCTCAGAAACCACAAATCACTGATATTCAAGAGAGAGAGAATATGTTTGTGATTACGTATTAAAGGGAAGGAAACCCACAAACACTTCCGACACAAAATACACAACCTTGCCATTTTTGCACTTCATGAAATTAATAAAATGATGTTGAATACTCCGTAATTAAAAAGTAAACATTTAAAGACACAAATGGTAAGTTTGTATATTTTGTGACCGAAATATTTGTGACTCTAGCATTTCTCGAGGAGAAAAGAGGGCTGCAAAGAATGTGCCTATATAGAAAACATTTGCTTTTACTTTGGAAAATGCTATGGGTATGTGTATCCATTATCCAAAATGTCTCCGCCTCCTCCTTGTCCACAAAAAGATAAGAAAATTAAAAAAAATAAGTAAATAAAAATGTATGGTTATGAAGGGATGGTGGATATTTGGGATACACATATTATGTACCCACACTATCATCTTTTTACTTTTACTCATTTCTTCCCAAAAATAAAAGAAAATGGCCTACACTAAATTGTGCCTAAATTCGAAAGAAAAAAAATACTGTCTTCGTCCCAATATGTTTGTATAGTTTGATTTTTAAACCAAATTTGACGAATTTAATTATGAATTAAATAAAATTTACTATATATTACGGAGTGGTACATAATGATTTAATTATATTTATTTTGAAAAATGTTTTTAGAAAAATACTATGCATTTTAATTTTTTTTAATATACAATATACTTTCAGTATCTCACATTTGAATTGCATGTTTATGTTTATATACTCCGTAATTAAATTCATTTATTTTTTTAGGCAAAATGAATTTTATTAATGTCTCAAAAACACAATCACAAACTCAAGTGAATTAGAGACCCACAATAGGTTGGATCAATTTTCATCCATTTTATTTACATATCTTCTTTACTCATTTGATAAAATAATATGGTCTTGTCACTCTTGTTTCGTAAAATTTTTTGATGTACAAAGTACTTTAAAAATATGTCAATTTTATATTTTTATTCTACCGCAACTCACAAATAAATTAAATTTAAAATAACTTTAGTCAAAAATCATAAATCAATACATATGATTTAATTAAGGACAAAGGGAGTAATATTAATTTAATTGATGAACAAATTTTTACCAATTCAATTGTAAAAAAATAAAACTGGACAAACAAATTGAAACAAAGGAAGCATGAAACACATTTTTTAATTTTTAAATATAACATCAAAATGAGAATGATCCTCCTTGAAAGAAATGAGAAAACATATTAGGAATGCGAAGTAGTTCAATGGATTTAAGATCTAACAATTGTGAATAACTAAAACTTGAATAAGAAATTTTAAAAATATGGTGGCATGAAGTAAATAAATTAAATATTTTATTATTACCAAAATGCATTATTTTAATTGCAAAAATGCATTATCATAACTGTGAAAATTCATTTTCTTTATGGTGAAAATGTATTATCTTCTATATTTGCAAATTAATTGACAACATTTATCAGGGCACCTTTGGTAGGAGAAGTGTAAAGTATACACATTTTGTATCTTTAGTGGTTCCTACATGGTTACAACTTACAATTATTTAGAGAAGTAACAATTTTTATTGATAAGGAACTCTAAGTATCACCTAAATTATTTCTAATGAGAAATTATCATAATTTAGAGTTGTTTAAGTTTAGCAACTCTTCAATCACTTAATATTAAAGATGCTCTTAGAGGCTAAAATCTAGAGTCTATATTAGCAAGATTTAACTAGGGTTCAAAGTAAAAAAAAACGGGTAAAGTAATTAGGAAGGTAATTAGCAAAACCCATTTTGTTAGGAGCATGATTACTTTGAACCGCACCCTTGTGAGCATGACGTACATGCATTATATTTATGCATTCACCATTTCCATCACCCAAAGTGGGCCACATTGGTAGTTGTGCATTATTTTTTTGGACCATGCTACACTTACACCAACAAATATACCTTATTTGTACACCACAGGTTTGCACAAACATTTCGATGGTTTACACCAACACAAATGTTGGTGCGCTAATAAAAATTCACACTGACACAAATGTTGGTGTGTTTAACAAAAATTAGTTTTACACCAACACAAAATGTTGGTGCAAAACTGCGAGGAACAAATTGGGTTACAAATCTTGGGGTACACATAGCATAATCCTTATTTTTTTACTTGGTTTATCCATCTATCTCTAAATATTTGTCTACTTTTAATTTTTTCAGTCAAAATTGATGAAATTTAACCTCAAATTAAGGTCATGTTCTCTCCAACTTATTTCTCACTCCGTATTACTTATTTTTATTGAAATCAAATCATACCTGGTCTGATCAGAAATAAATTTAAATATAGCTACATTCAAATCATATCAAACCAGATCAGAACTTATTTCAATCAGGTAAGAACCAATCAGATATTCAGATCAGGTGTAGATAACATGACCTAAATAAAATGATATTAGATATTGATGCAAAATTTTTTATTAGATTTATTATATCAAATAATTTCAAAATATTATTTTACCTAACTAATATACAATAAATATTTTATTTAATTATAAATCAAAAGTTGAAAATAGTCGATTAAAAAATGAAAAAACAAGACAAATACTCAGAGACAGAAATAGTAATTTTTTATTACTCTAATTATGGCTATTCAAACTATCAAATTAAAATTAGAGACAACAATTTCCTGATATTTGGTAGTACAAAAATATATAGATTTAGAATTAGAAGTGCCAAAAATGAATTAGATTTAAAAAATTGAATTCCTCAGAACTTCAACTCCCTATTCAATTCTAATTTCGTCAATTCCAAGCACCAAACAGACCATAAGAGTTTGATTTGATAAAATTTGTATAATCTACCCTGTATTAAAAAATTAAAAAAATATATAGTTTAAATTTGTTTAAAGAAAAGAGAAAATAATTAGTAGCCATTTTTTGGGACGATAAAAAAAAGTGTAAAGAATATGGGACATAGTTCAATTTAGGTTTGATTTGTTTGTTTGGTCACGCTTCGTACACCAATGAAATGAGTCGGTGCAACTTTCGGCATTCATTACGGATCACCAAAAAACAACCACTCTATGTTTTAAGCAGGGTCAAGTTGCATAGATCTGATTCCCTGATGAGCAAATGTTGTTTGCACCTTTCAACACTTTTCTTAAAATTTTAGCCAAAAGTCAAATACACAAAACTTGTTGGGACGAAGATAGAATGTTGTAAACAACATTCGTTGTGGTACTGCGACGCCATCAAGAAAAAAAACAGGAACAATAAACACTTGAAGAGATCAGCATGCAGAACTTGTGAATAGAAAGGGATCATATTGGGAGGAAACATAATAGCATAACCAAAGAAACTATGAGAGTAACACAACATCTACAAAGTATATTCTGCAAAGTGAGTGTCAATAAGAATTTATAGATACCCATCCCTCTTGTCTTGCTCCTCTACCTCCTTGTTAGCAACTTGAACTGATTTGAACCAAAGATATGCCTGCAAAGAACCCAAGTAGAGGAGTGTAAAATACACTATCAGGTCTCACAATGCCAAAAAACTAGATTTTTGCTCACATACTCAAAAACAGACCCAATTCGCAAAGAAGGGAACCACAAAGCTGAAAGAATCTTTTTTGGACTCGCCTCTGGCCCATGGAGGCGGATCTTCTGAACCGGGTTTGGCCCATGAGGGAACTGGTTGGTCATCTTCTTCTTCACTTTTGAACGAATTCTTGGCAAGCTCATTATTCATTGGGCCAGTAGATAGAAGGCCGGCCCATTGTGTTGGCCTGTTGGGCCTTTCAAGCATGCAAGCTCATTATTCGTTGAGATATTGTGGGCATGCACGCTAAGTCTTCATCATGTATAAATAACCCTCCCCTGCTTGTAGGGAGGGGGATTCAAACCACTATCATCATTATCCATGAAGGAACCAATTTCTTTCTCCATACCCGAGTCTCACAAATCTGTCACACAGTATCATTTATTTTTGTCTTTAGCTTGTAAATGTTATGCATATAAGTTGTGTACTTTGAAGAAGGCAATGAGAGATGTGAAATAAAGTTCTAAACTTTTTTATATTTTTACAAGACCAAATCAGGCTCAAAAGACACTTTTTTATTAACGAATTAAGGAATGCATGCATGCACCTCCGAAGGTACTCTTGTGACTCTTCGGTTAATCCTCCTAAGTTAGCCCAATCCGTCCAAGACCTCCCCTATATAAGGAGGGCTTGTTGCAGAGATGAAACACACGAATAGAAGCTATTTGCATTCCAACCCTCTATATAATTTTTTGATCGTCTTCTCTGGCGAGTAACTTGTTATTCACGTTTGTCTGTGTGGGAAACATGCGTACTACCTTAAGGAAAGCTCTGGCGACTCTGTTTTCATTAACCTTTTCAGAATCCGGCAATGCTCACAGGATCCATTCATCTTCTGCATCTCTGACATCAAGTTATTTTTATTTTATTTCTTCCATTGTAAAGTCTTTCAAGGTATAAGTTTGGATTACTTCTTTTCCCCCCGCTAATTTTCTATATTCAACAAACTCTATTCAAGTCATTGACCCTCCACATGCCCTCTGGTCATTGGCTCTCACGTACCCATGGAGAGAGATGCAAACAAATCAAATACTTTTAATTCGATTCACGATTTGTATTTGAATATAATGATTCAAATTTGTATTTTTCAAATACAAATAGAGGTGTATTCAATTTGATTGATATTAGAATATTTGAATACACACATGTACACACACCATTTGTTCAAAAGCGATAGTCTAAAAAAATAATATAGTATAAAGTGCATTTAAGTTATTAAAATTTGATCAAATTAATATAACATAAAATATAAAATACATAATTTTTAATAATTATAGTTTATAATGATTTACGTAGTACAAAAATGTATTAATGATTATAGATATACTACAAAAAGTAGTTTGTGTGAATTGAAGTTATTCAAAATTGATGCTGGTGTATTTACATTATGATCATTCGAATATTCACTTAGAATTCATTAGTTTTTGGAATTTAATTTATTGATGAGATACAAATATAAATTATGTTTGAAATTGGTTTCATATTAGATTCAAACTCATATTAAAAAAACATAAATTCAAATATCTACATTTTCAACTTGATTCTACTACCCGTCCTTAAATA